CTAATGGGTTCTGAAGGCATTATCTTCAATTGTGTACCAATAATGAGCCTTCTAGGCTTCAGTGGACAGTTTCACCCCTTTGGTCACAGAAGAAGACTTGGCTGAAATAAGTAGATCATGAAACAAGAAAAGGCATCTATGTTGAAAGGAAACCTATATGGAGAAGAAAACAGGGGTACAGGAGTTAGGGGGTTAAAAAGTATATGTGTGAAGTAAGAATAAACAGGATAAACACATTGTACCTACATTGTACATATGAATGAAATGCCAAAGAATACATGTCATAAATATAAACAGACTAAATGAATATTGGCAATAAAGCAACCTATTCCATTTTTCCAAGTAATACCTTGTTCTATAGATTTAAATCAGTAATATGACACTATTTGACAGGGAAGTAGCTGCAACACATGAAGACAGTAACCAGCTTCCCCAGTCTGACTCTCAAATTGTGAACTCTCAGCTTTGCCTTTAGATTAGTTTTGTCTTCACTGAAGCCTAAAAATCAAAATATATTATCATGGTTGAATGGAAAAGCTCATGTATAGCTTCAATTATTTAAGAAATGGGTAAATAAAATAGAAAATATCAAGAATTTGTTTCTTGTAAATGTTCATTATCAAAGACATCTAAGATCAAGGCATTTATTTTATTGATGAGATCTTTGGAGACTTGATTAGTCTATCTACTTTAGGATATCTACTTTGAAGCTTCCTCTTTGAGAGAGAAAAAAATCTAAGACAGAGACTGAAAGAAACATTCATGTTTAGATAAGAGAGGCTTATCTAAATCTAGATAGAATTAACAATTAGAAGCTAGAATACCCATATGAAAGAGAAGATGATATTTGTTGTTCTGAATGTGAAGACCTCACTCAGTATAATTTTTACAAGTTCTGTACATTTATTTGCAAATTTAATTTTCAAAAAGTGGAATAAAATTGTCATGTAAGTATTTTTCCTTATCTAGTTATCAACTAGTAGACCAGGGCTTTGCTGGGCAAACATTAGTTTATTATCCCAATGTGTGTTTATGTAATGGGGGCATCAAAGTCAGGGCATGTATCATTTTGTCATTTTCTCAACATGCTATTGAGAGACCAAAGACTTAAAAATCAGTTGGTGTTGTTTTAAAGTTTAAAGCACAAGTCTGAACCAAGCCAAAAGGAGATGTGTCCAGCCACCTTCGGAAAAGAACTAGCCTTACTGCATTCTTTCCTGCCCACTAGAAATACAGTTGCTAGAAAACCAGCCCATCCCCCTAGGAAGGGACACCAGATCATTAATGGTTTGGGGAACCTCCCTTAGCCAATCAATTAAAAATGCAACATCCCTGTTGTGTTTTGACCAATAAAAGCTTGCCAGGCAGGAATCCCCTGCTTTGGGGGCGCTGGGAGGGACCAGAATCTTTAAATCACCCAACTAACCTGAGCAGGAGGCTCTCACCGCTTTGGCGGTGGGGGTGTGAGCCCAAGCTGCAGCTTGTAATAAAAGATCCTCATGTGTTTTGCAAGGGACCCAACTCCTGGTGGTGGTATTTTGGGGACTTCAGCACTATTTTCTTAAAAACAAACAAGCAAACAAAGCAAATGTAACTGTGTTTTGTTTACTTTGATTAGCAACTGTAGTGTTTACATGGTATGATGTAACCAATTCCCAGGGAAAGATAAATCTTCTCTGCACCATAATCAGGTTCATGTCTGAAATCCCTTACAAATGATTGGTAGCATGCATTTTTATCTATTTTATTTAGGTTTCTAATGCTTCTATCTCCCTTCCAACCCTTATCAGTCCTAATCCCTTCCAACACTAGGTAGGAGAGAAAGAAAGTGCGTGGGGAGTAGTGGCATAGTTGTCTTTTGACTACTTCCTTCTGGTTAGGGTCTTTTAGTTCCTGGGGGCAAGCCCAATTTTCATTTCAGGATATCTCCAACTTCTTGTCAAACCTCCTCAACAACACCCAGGAACACTAACCAACTTCTTTCTTTGACCACCTCCTTCCCTCTTTGGGCTCTGGCATTTATTGCCTCTCAGAGTCCCCAGAATTAAAGTATGCACCTGGCAAAGATCACCCTTCTCTATGAGCTTTCATGAGGCAAAGAGTCCTCTGTTATGGACAATATAAAGCATTTCCATATCGCACAAACAAAACAAACAAACAAAAACATGTTTTATAAGAAAACTAAGTTTTTAAAGAAACCAAAACTCCTACTACTAAAGAAGAAAACATATACAAATTTCTTTACTGCAACTTTTGTGTGATATGGTAGCCTCTGAACATAAAAACTCAAGTTTTATATTGAGTTTAAAGAAATGGACTAATGTTGAGATGTAAGGAAGGCCTAACACTGGTCCGGAGTGTTCTCCAGGTAGTCTGTTCAAATTCTGCTGTGTCATTGTGTAATATCACTTTCCTTCTACCACAGACTACAGGAGTGTCTCTGATTTCCAACAGAGGCTGGCATAAGAAAATTTCTCTTGGTTTCAGGAGATCATGTGACCTTTTTGCTTCTGACTTTCTTTTCTTTCCTTGTGTGTGTATTTGCCTGTTTTATGTAACAGGTGGTAGTGTCATTCTAGGGGATGGTGGTGTTATTCTAGGGGATGGCTGAGATCAATCCTTAAGACTTAATTGGTGCCAAGGTGAAACAAGACCAAGAAACAAGAAAGTGAAAGTAACATCTTTATTCAGTTTTCGAATGGGGCAGGGCCTAAAGCTGGGAATCCTGTAGTGGATTCTGGCTTAGGTATTGTACAGGAACCCTGGGTTTTCCTCTTCCCTTATTGATCCAATTTGACACTCACCAACATAATTTCCTGTCACATCTTCACACAGTGTCTCAGGAAACACACTGTTTTAATTTTCCTTGTGAACCTAGGCCCCTATAATTCTCTTTGAAGGTGTCTGTCTGCCTTTGTGAATCTCCATTATTATATTTGTTGAGGCAAAGTATCTAACTAAATCAGATGGTCATGATTCTAGCTAGTCTACATAGTATTCTTTCTCTGCTATTTTGTTGTTGTTTGGGTTTTTTTGTTTGTTTGTTTGTTTTTGTCAATTTGACAATAAGCTAGGATCATCTGGGAAGAATCTCAATGGAAAAAATGGTTCCATCAGATTTTCCTGGAGGCAAGTCTGTGGGAGTTGGAGGGCCCATCACACTGTCAGTGGTGTCACTCCTTGACAAATAATAAATAAATAAATAAATAAATAAATAAATAAATAAATAAATAAATAAATAAATAGATAGATAGATAAATAAGAAATAAAGCTGAGAAAACTGTGGAGATTAAGCCGGGAAACTGTGTTCCCCCTTCAGTTCCCACCTTTACATTATTGATGCCAGCTTCTAAAATTTTGTAATAAGTATTATTTCTATTATTTTAACGATGAAGAAATTAGAACAAAGAGGAGAATTACCAGACCTAAGATATTTGTAATGTTCTACTACTTAAGAACTCAAATTGCCTGACTCTAGATGCTCTAGCAAGTGTTAGTGTCCTCACTCTCTATTGAAATCTTGGTCCACAGTGTGTTGCTGATGATGTAGTACCTTCATGATTTTGATCGGTGAGGAGTCAGAGGGGTCCTCAAATCAAATTGTGGACTGTGGAGTTCTAGTCTCTCTACTCTCTGACATATATTATCTGTTGCTTCCACATCTTCTGTTAACTGTGATGTTATCTGCTTTTCAGCGTGAATCATCACTTGATTGAACCCAACAATTTATCCAGTTTACAAAAATGTGAGATAGTAAACTTCTTTCTTTTGTGAAGTTAGTTTACTTGGGCATTTCATTATAGTAACAACATATAAAATATTACACTATGCAAATAATCTTAAATTGTCCTTTCTAGTTAATACAGCACAAAATCATTTTTATGACTCTTAACATTGTATTTTAATTACATCTACTGTAAAAAAATATGTATGAAAGAATCCTTTTTCAGAATAGCTTTAACATCTTACAATATAGTGCCTAAAATAACAATGGAGTTTTGTTTAAAATTCTGTGAACCTATCTTGAAATATTAAGATTGGCATTCCAGTATAGCATGAACATAGGAGGTTTTGATTTAATATACTCCTCTGACTAACTCTTCACTCTTCTTTAAAATATTGAAAAGCTAGGAGAGTTGTATTTAGGCAGTGGTCTAGGGAGTAGCATTGTTGAAATATTCATTAAAGTTATATGAGATTGAGAGGGTGCTGTCTATAGTTCTTCAGGAAGGCATTCATGTTGCTGACATTATTTTAAAAAGAAAATAATTTGTCTCTGTGCACATACAACTTCCCCTTCTAATCAGATATACATGTTAAAAAACAATAACTAAACCCAGAAGGCCATAGTAGTGATGACTCATTTATAAACAAATCTGAAGAAAATGACACTTTAACTGGATTGCATTTTGCAGATTCTGAATAAGATTTATCATTCATTTACCATTTGCTAACTTTTGTTAACATTTTGTGGTTTTCAGTATCTCATATGCATTTTTTATATTTATCTATATTTTATACTTGCTAATATCATTGCAAAACTGATTTTAAATATTAACTTCCATTTAGTTGACATAAATGTAAAAAAATAATTCTTGAATTATTATCAATTCAAGTATTATTTTAAACTTATATCAATACTTTATCTTATATACTGTATGTATAAAGTTTTGTAATTTTCAAGTAAATATACTCACTTCTTTTTCTTTCAGATGAAACGCTCTATTATTCTCATTTTCTTGCTTTATTATACATTTTGGACCACAGTTCAGTCATGAATTTTCTCATTCATCCTTTGCCCCTGTTTTATTTTTAATCATAGTCTGATGAAGACTTAGTTAAAAAAGTATGTAACATACTATTATGAGATGATCAATGAAATTTTGATATGATGGTTCCCACTGATGATAACTAACTTATTTTCATCTCTCACTTTCTGAAGCAAAAAGGGATATCTTAATATTTACATGTTGTGTAAACTATATTTTTATTTATTTCAGGTGATTGTTAAATCTGGACCAGGAACTTTCCTTAGTCTGGCAGTTTATGACAACTATATCTTCTGGTCAGACTGGGGACGAAGAGCTATTTTGCGTTCCAATAAGTACACAGGAGGAGAAACAAAAATTCTTCGTTCTGATATTCCACATCAGCCAATGGGAATCATAGCTGTTGCTAATGATACCAATAGCTGTAAGTTGTATTAGGAAATAATATTTCCTAATTAATATAAACTGTCACTTTTTTCATGTTTATGGTATTATCAATTTTGTGATCTTATGAGCTGGGAGATAATATTTAGAATTTTACTGTTCAATGTATCAAAACTGTCTGAAATGTTTAAGTAACTAATATAGAACTCAGTTCATACCAATTTCAGTTTTAATTATTTGTAAAATTCTACTCCATTTCCCTTTATTCCTCATATCTTTGAAAATAAGGGCTAACTTCTTTTTCTATGATAACGATTTTCTTAGTAGGAAATTGTAATATTTACAGAATTGTGGTTTTCAGTAGTAAATTTCTTAGAATGCCATGACATCCTCAAAAGTCTTGAGTGTTTTGGAGTTTGAGTCAGTTTAACAATTTTCTTGTTACCTGTAATTAATGGGTACTGCGTACTCATTACAAATGTGACTCATAGTTTCCTTCACTGCAGGTGACCTCTCTCCGTGTGCATTGCTGAATGGAGGCTGCCATGACCTCTGCCTTTTAACTCCAGATGGAAGAGTGAATTGCTCCTGTAGAGGGGATCGAATATTGCTAGCTAACAACAGATGTGTGAGTAAGTAAGGATAATCTATGTAATATGCTTAAAATAAATTGAAATTATGTTACCGCATTTATAAAGTTGTCTTGTCCTCCAATAGTTTCTGTTCTTTTACATCTATTTATTAAATCTAGCTCACTGTAGTACTTTATTATAGCTTCACGTAGGTGCTAGTTTTCAAAACTCTATTTTATCTGGAATTTCTTAATGCATCTACCCCTCTTCTATTAACTACCCCCAACCCAAGGTAGGAGAGAAAGCAGGTTAGTGGGGAGAGGGGAAGTAGACCTCTTTTAGATTTAGTTCCTGCTGATTAGGGTCATCAGGTTCTTTGATGACAAAACCAATCACATCATCAGGATAACCAGCAGTCCAGGGAACCAGCCATCTTCTTCTTTCTCCATCCCTGTCCTCGAAGCCTTCTCTCTATCTGTTTCCTCCAAGCTGTCACACATTCTCTCTCTGGGCTCTCATATTTATACCCCTCAGAGTCCTCCAAATTCAACTAACTCTAGCTGGCAAAGACCATGCCCTGCACTAGGTAATTATCAGCTGTGGGCAAATGAAAATTCCAAACTTGGGATTAAAACAAAAGCAGATTTACATAACATAACTGAGTTTTTAACAAAACCAAAACTTCCATTACAACTTCATGTAATAAGTAGTAGTATTCAAGATAATATTATTCATGGGTTCCTGTAATTAAGGGCCTGCCTGTGTTAGGACCAGCTTCAGAAGTTCCTACATACAAGATCATCTGTCAAATTGTAGCTGTGACTCTGAGACTCTGGCAATTATAAAATTAATTACAGTGGAAATAAACTAGAATCCATGTAGCTCAGTAGCCATACAGTAACCTCCTTCATAGTCTATGGCAGTATGTAAATGAGAGAGCATGTCTCATGAAGCTTATTTGTAATCATTTCCAAACTGTTAATTAAGAATGTAACATTCCAGCCTTGCACAATGTTTATTCTTCCCAAAGGCATTGCAGTCTTTAATTAGTACCATTACAATACCCCCTTATTAACAGCTAAATTTCCAAAATAAATAATGGTTCAAGTGTTTCAATATTGCCATGAAAAATTAGCAAGTAACATAAAAAGGTTAATTTCTCTTTAACACTGAAACTCTTTGTATGTGAGAAAGGTGGAAAATGAAACATCTTGTTGGAAATTGGTGAACTCCTTTTCAAAATGTGCCAGTTTGGGCACATTTTTTTTCTCTCATTTGTATTCTTTTTCTCTTATCTTTCATGTTAGGAAATTAACAAAATGGATATTTACATAATTAAAATAAGTATATTTCATCTTTATCGTCAGACATCCTTGTGCCTTATTTACCGGGAGGATAAATTCTCCCATTTGCAATGTGCCTTTTTGTTTTGAAAACTGGTACCACATCCAAGGGCACATCTTAGCAAACAATAAAATGTTGGCTTTATGTAAGACTGTGTCAGAACAAAGGAGAGAATGCTGCAACCATTTAGTGAATGTTAATGTAGATTAGCAATTTTAATACAGTGTGCCTCAATCCTCAGATCTCAATGTGGCCTACACATCTCTGAACAGATCATGCAACTGAGTTACATTTCAGTTTGCCTTTTCATTGAGTCCCAGTGATCAGGACCTGATGCCATGTGCAGACCAGGATCATCAGTCATGCATTGGAATCATCGTGTTTTGATCACAGCTCACACTGTAGGGCAGAGTTCAGGTGGTGACTTTGATAAAAAGAGCAAGCAGGGTATACAGTGTGCAGTAAAGGCTGCTTCATGCAAAAAAAAAAAAAGGTTTATATATATATATATATTACTGCTCCTAATAAGCTACCTGTTTCTCTCTGCTGCTGAGATGTGATGAGTCAAACAAGAAAAATATTTTAAGCATGCAGCGTTGCACGGCTATGGAACAGAAATGTGGCACTGGGGCCCTGGAGGAAGACAAATTGCTGTGGAGGCATTTTTCTATCAATTACATGTTGGTTTTGAAATCCTGTGGTCCATGAGCACAACCACAAAGTAGCTTCTGCTTTTTTTCTTGTCAATCCATTGATGAGAAACCAGAATACTTCTTCCGCATATCCGCTAGCATTGTTCAGGAGCATTAGCGCCCTCGCTCATTTGCTCACATATACATGAGGGTAAATGGAGAAAAACATTTGTTGTCCTAATTGTTGGCGTAATATTTAGGTATTTACATCACACATAACATTGCAAATATTGTAGATCTTGTTACCCTCAAGATCCATCACAGAAACAGGAAGGACAAGAATATTTTAACAGAACACTATCTGTGTGAGAGAATGAGACGCAAACCTGAAAGTACACAGAAGCGAAAGCGTTTAGTGATTTGTATCAAATGCAAATGTGGGCATGAATCTGCCTTGTACAAAATTTATTTTTCATTAAGTTTATATTCTGCTTTCATTCTGCTGCTTTGATAAAACACTTTGACTTAAAGCATCTTTGGGAGAAAAATAGTGTATCTCTTTGGATTATAGATTTTAGTATGTTTATCCTATACTACATAGTTAATATCCACTTATAACTGAGTATATGCCCTGCCTTTCTTTCTGCTTCTAGGATAACTCACTCAGGATGATCTTTTCTAGTTCCATCCATTTGCCTGAAAATTTCATGATTTCCTTGTTTTTAATAGCTGAGTATTATCCCACTGTGTAAATGTACCACAATTTCTGTATCCATTCCTCTGTTGAAGGACATCTAGGTTATTTCCAGCTTCTGGCTATTACAAATAAAGCTGCTATGAACATAGTTGAGCAAATGTCCTTGTTGTATGATTGTGCATCTTTCTGATATATGCTTATGAGCTGTACATAGTTAGATCCTGATGTAGCACTATTCCTAATTTTCTGAGAAAGTGCCAGATTGATTTCCAAAGTGGTTGTACAAATTTGCATTTCCACCAGAAAAGGAGGAGGGTTCCCCTTTCTCCACATCCTCTCCAGCATGTGTTGTCACTTGAGTTTTTGATCTTAGTCATTCTAATGGGTGTAAGGTGAAATCTCATGGTCGTTTTGAATTGCATTTCCCTCATGACTAAGGATATTGAGCATTTCTTCATGTGTTTCTCTGCCATTTGATATTCCTTTCTTGATAATTTTCTGTTTAGCTCTGTACCCCATTATTTAATTGGATTACTTGGTTTGTTGGTGTTTAACTTCTTGAGTTCTTTATATATTCTGGATATTAGCCCTATGTCAGATATAGGTTTGGTGAAGATACTTTCCCTGTCTGTAGGCTGTCAGCAAGCTAAACAACAGGGAGGACCCTAGGGAAGATGCCTAATCATCATTCAAAGGGCAAACAGTATAGACACAGGAGGCAGAAGTGAGGAAACAGGACAGGGACCTACCACAGAGGGCCACTGAAAGAATCTACCCAGCAGAATATCTAAGCAGATGCTAAGCAGACTCATAGCCAAATTTTAGGCAGAGTGCAGGGAATCTTATGGAAGAGGGGAAAAGGAAAGACCTGGAGAGGACAGGTCTTTTGCTCTACAAGGAGAAGAAAAGAGCCAAAATATCTGGGCTGAGGGGGTCCTACAGAAACTGATGCTCCAACCAAGGACCATGCATGGAGAGGACCTAGACCCTGTGCTCAGATGTAGCTTATAGGCAGCTCATTCTCAATGAACACTCCCTAGTAAGGTGAGCAGAGGCTGTCTCTGACTTGGACTCAGTGGCTGGCTCTTGGAATACCTCCCCTGGGGGGAGGGGCAGCCTTACCAGGCCACAGAGGAAGACAATTCAGCCAGTCCTGATGAGACCTGATAGGCTTGGGTCAGATAATAGGGGAGGAGGACCTCCCCCATCAGTGAACTAGGGGAGGGGCATAGGAGTAGAAGATGGAGGGAGGGTGGGACTGGGAGAAAGTGAGTGAGAGGGCAACAGCTGGGATACAAAGTGAATAAATTATAATAAATAATAAATAAGAAGAAAAAGAAAGTTTCTTTTTTTCCCTCAAAACAAACCTTTAAAAGCAGAGGAAACATGGCATTCTTGAGGCAAAACTGAGCTGTAGAAACAATATTCTCTATTTTGTTACTGTTGGCCTCTACTTGGAATTTAGTGCAAATTGTAAATCACTTGAGAAAGAAAGAGAGAGGAGAGAGTCAGAGACATAGATAGTGATAGACAGAGAGACACAAAGAGAGACAGAGAGTCCTGTGGGGACAGTGGTAGTGGTGGTATTAGGTGTCTGGCATCAGGTGTCTGTCAATTAAACCAAGTATCAAGTGTCTGGCTGCCTGGAGTATCATCTTTTTACCTTTTACACTAAATTATCCAAAAGATTCCAGGTGCCTGCAGGCAGGAAGCAGCTGGGTATGGTATTTTCAGTTCTAGTTCTGAATAAGGGAACTGGCTACCAGATCTCAACAGAGGAAAGTTGAGAAGATCAAGTTAGAAGCAGATCAAGTAAGGACCCTGTCTTGGCTTAGGTGACTTCATGTTCATAATAATGCTTGGCAAGCTGATTTGCCCAAAACCTAGTGTTTTATACACAAAATGTATTCCATTCTTTTTAATAGCAGGACAAACCAGACATTATGTGTTTAGTAACTGTATGAATAAATATCATATTAAAATATTCCAGATAATAACCAAGATAGATTGTTTGTAAAATAAAGATATTTTGAAGATGTAATCTATGAATTTTAGTAAATTCATTATGTGAAAAAAAAAAAGGCCCTCCCCTCGTTGGAATGTTTTACTGTTTGGAAGAATGTATAATAATAAGGATACAACAAAGCACTGTTGGAATACAAAAAGATTATTTAACTGACTATTTTGTTTGGGGTTTTAAGACAAATCTCACTCTCCATCTTAGGCTGACCTTGAACTCATTATGACCCACAATGGCCATAAACTTGTAATCCTCCTGCCTCAGTCTTCAGTATTCTGGGGGTTACAGGTGTGACCAACCACACCTGAGTAATTGGCCTTTAAGAAAGCAAAACAAAACAAAACAAAACAAAACAGCAATTATTTTACATGCCCTACATGCCAATTATCAAATTCAACCACTACATTCCTCTGCACACACTCAATCAACAAATGATTAACAGAAAATGCAAACAGAGACAAAATAAAAAATAGTGATGCAACTCAAAAAGTACTTTTCCAACAACTCTCGGAAAACTTGAAAAGGTAAATCAGGAATGACATAAAGTGCTTCTGCTAATTTTTAGTGAAATGTGAGCTACTGTTATTCACTTCATTTTTTATGTTTATATTTTACTTTAGTGTTATACTTACCTAAAGGAGTATAATGCTAAATAATATAAAATCATTTTTTGATATACAAATACTTAACTTTCAATCTTTCAGCTAAAAACTCTTCTTGCAACATTTACTCTGAGTTTGAGTGTGGAAACGGGGAGTGTGTTGACTACGGCCTCACCTGTGACGGTACCCCTCACTGTAAGGACAAATCTGATGAAAAGCTGCTCTACTGTGGTAAGTGTTTGAGAAGCTTTATCGTTGCAGGAAGATATTTATGTTGGGTTCTATAGTTTTAGGTGTGTTTGTCTGTCTGTATTTCATGTCAACACTTGACTTAATTGTCTCTGATTGGCATTTATCCCTGAAGGAAAATGACTAGACTTTGAAAAAACGAGACAGATTATTATCTATCCTGTTACCATAGTAATCACTGGAGAAGAATCTCTTTATGGTTTTCTATCAATTTGATGCAAATTAAAAGGGAACTGGAGCCTATTTTGTAAACTGCCATATAGTTTATATCTACCAATAATTTTGGCTCATATTACTAAGAACACAATTCAGAAATATCAGTGAGTAGTGGATATTGCAGACTTACACTGCAGCAAAGATCCACCCTCAGCCATGAGCATGGAGTGTAGATGTCAAAGCATTTGTGCATTCCATTTTTGTTTCAAGGGTAATCATGGGGCTAGGGTCCTGTGATGTGGAAACTGTGATAACCATGAGCCACAAAACCCACAAACAAACAAACAAACAAACAAAACTGCAGCCTTTCATCATTTGTGCCTTCCTGTTGGTGACAAGTGAAAGTCATCCTCTGAAAGAGATTGGTTTTTCTGTAATGGGAATTAGCAAAGATTTGCCTTCCTTTCCCCATCAATATGTGTAATTGTCCAAATTTATTTTAAAAATAATGTGATTTATTTGACTTTACAAGACCAACAGCATTAGGTATCTGTGCCATGTAAAATTTGGAAAACTTTTATTAGAATTATTATTTTATCTCCAACCTAATCTTTGGGAACTTTATCATGATAATAATTACACCCTATTAATCAAAGAATTATAAATAGGAAGATGAGCATTTTATAATTTTCACATATTTTGTTCATTCCAGATTAAGATTCTCAGTCAAAATGATGGAGAGATGCCATCTGTTTATGATTTTTCTTTTTTTCTTTTTTATATTAATCACAGGTTATTTACTTTGTATCTCAGCCGTAGCCCCCTCCTTCATTCCCTCCCAATCTCACCCTTCCTCCCTCATCTCCTTCCTGTCCCTTTCCAAGTCCACTGATGGGAGAGGACCCCCTCCCCTTCCATCTGACCCTAGCTTATCAGGTTGTTTATGATTTCTTTAACCAGAATTATACAGAATTTATTCAAGTTAAGTGTTTAATTTATAGAATAGCAATTGAGAAAACAGTTTGAAGGTAATAGAAATAATAACAGTAAGTGTAAAATATACATTTATTATGAAATGGGCTTGAAAATAATATCAACAGTTTTTTATTTATACAAAATGAACTAAAAAAAAAATCAGCAGCCCTTCTGTATAAAAAGGACAAATGGGCTGAGAAAGAAATTAGGGAATCAATGTCCTTCACATTAGCCACAAATAATATAAAATATCTTGGTGTAACCAAGGAAGTGAAAGCCCTGTATGAGAAGAACTTCAAGTCTTTGAAGAAAAAAACTGGAGAAGATACCAGAAGATGGAAAGACATTTCTCTCATTCTTTGATATTCTCCTTAGGGAATGCATGCTTTGTTGCTTTTTTATTATAAAATCCCTGCTTATATTAATGAATTAATGGATGAATGATAGGATGCTTTGCTGCTTGAGATATCTCTTCTGAATTGATTATACATTGTCGGTTCATTCCTATGGAGCACGGGAAAAGCACAAGAAACAGTATGTAAATATAACCCTGGACCACTTGTTAGGAAGCAACAGATCATAAAGGACTCAACTGAATGAGATGATTGCTCCTTGGTAACTGATGGACACTGTAACTCAAGAGCTTTGACATAGCACTGCTTTATGGATCCAGATTCCATTAAATAGTAGAGAAATTTTATTCATGGTTTTTACCATCTAGAAAGCTCTCTATATGACCTCTAACGATACGTTTCTATCTTTATTCATAAGAAAACAGAAGTTGCCGAAGTGGGTTTAAACCTTGCTACAATCGTCGTTGTGTTCCCCATGGCAAACTCTGTGATGGTGCAAATGATTGTGGAGACAGCTCTGATGAACTGGACTGTAAAGGTAAATATTTTTATATCATTCTTTGAATATTAGGCATTATATTATAGATGTTTATTAAACTTTCACAAAATTTGTTTCTGAGAAAAACTGTGCTATGTAATATGTTTTACATTCATTTTTTATTAATTACAATTTATTCACTTTTTATACCAGCTGTAGCCCCCTCTCCCACCCCCTCCCAATCCCATTCTCCCTCCCTCATCTCCTCCCATACCCCTCTCCACTGATAGGGGAGGTCCTCCTCCCCTTTCCTCTGACCCTAGCCTATCAGGTCTCAACAGGACTGGCTGAATTGTCTTCCTCTGTGGCCTGGTAAGGCTGCTCCCCCTTACTAGTCCCTGTTCCCCTTACTAGGAAACCCACTTAGATACTGAGCTGCCATGGACTACATCTGTGAAGGAGTTCTAGGTTATCTCCATCATAGTCCTTGGTTGGAGTATCAATCAGTCTCAGAAAAGATCCCTTTCCCCAGATTTTTGGTTCTGTTGCTCTCTTTGTGGAGCTCCTGTCCCCTAAGGGTCTTTCTATCCCCCCCCTTCTTTCATTAGATTCCCTTCACTCTGCCCAAAGTTTGATTATGAGTCTCAGCATCTGCTTTAATACACTCCTGGGTAGAGTCTTTCAAAAGCACTCTGTGGTAGGTCACTATCCTGTTCCCTGTTTTCTCCCTTTTCCTATGTACATCCCGTTTGCCTTTTTGAGTGAGGATTGATCATCTTACCCAGGGTCCTCCTTCTTGCTCAGCTTCTTTAGGTGTACAGATTTTAGTATGTTTATCCTATATTATAAACCTAATATCCACTAATAAGTGGGTATATACCATGTGTGTCCTTCTCCTTCTGGGATACCTCACTCAGCATGATCTTTTCTAGTTCCTGCTATTTTCCTGCAAATTTCATGATTTCCTTGTTTTTAATTGCTGGGTAGTATTCCATTGTGTAAATGTACCACAATTTTTGATGTTATATTTTGTAAATACTTTTAGAACAGAACTGTAGATTTTTCTGTTAAAAATAAACCAGACTTAGGCATAAAAGAAGCTCATGATTCTCATATGTGAAATACAAAAGTATTGATCTTGTAAGAACTATAGAAAGGTGTGATTATCAGATATCACCTGAAGAATAACAACATGGAGAAAGAGTAATCAGCAGATATAGTGATACAGTCTGATACAAGCAAGAATTCATTTTTGTAAATCAGTCAAAATTAATTCAATTAAAAACATTATGACTGCCTTTCTAGTCTATTAGTTAACTCTCTTTTTTTAATCCTATCTTATGTACTTGTTTTAAGTTGTTTATATCAGAACAATCAATACTGAATCAGTTGCTCTGAGAATGATTACTATGTTTCTTTGTTCTCTTTCACCATAATTTAATTCCTTAGTGAGTGGGTAAAATACTTAATGTTAGTCCTTAAATTAAATTAAGCAGACTTATTGAGGCATATTTATTCCTGTCATATATTCCATTTGTTTTAAATACACTCAAAGGTTCTTAGTTAAATTTACCCAATTTTGCACTCATTATAACCAGGACATTTCAGAATATTTATCTATGATTCCTAATCCTTATTCTCATTGCCTACCATAATTTTTCCTTTTGTAGGCATTTCACATTTCTTACAAATTAAGTCATGCAGTATGCATAGTCTTTCATTTCTTGCTTCCTTCAGTTAAGTCTTTGAGATTCATCCATGTTGTAAAATGTATGAACATAGCAAGAACCTTGTTACTACTTTTCTTTATTATTCTTTTATTATTTAATATAATTACATCACTTCTCCTTTCTCTTTCTTCTCTTCAAACCTTCCCACATACCACTCCATTATCTCTTTAATTTATGGCCAATATTTCTCACTAATTGTTTTACATGTATACATGTACACTATATACATATATATCACTAAGTAAAACTTCCTCTGCAAATGTTACGTGTATTTATGTTTTCAGGGCTGATCTTTGGCCTTAGTTAACCAGTTGGTGCACTGTTCTCTAGGGAAGACTATTTCTCCTATTCTCAGCATTCCTTACTTGCCTGTAGTTCTTTGGGTTGGGTTAAGGCCTCACAGTATTATAATGGCTCCTTCCTGCATATTTCTTGATCCACATAACCATTAATTGATGAATTTCCCAAATGTTGATTGGATTAGCTCTCTTGTCAATCCACTTTATTACTAGATTGAATATACTTTCCACAGCTTCCCCTGTCTTTACATTTTTAGTTTGTTCCTGTGTTGTGAATTAGATTAATATCACTCATACTGTCTACTAGAGAAGATACTCAATTTATACTTCCTGTTTCTATTCTTATTGTCTGAATTTTTAAGGCACTTTAGCAATTTGTGCTTCATTTTCACAAACACCAAAATACAAAAACAAATTGAATACGATTATTAATATTACATTGAATAGTAAATAATATTCATGCAATACATACTCTATATAAAATAACATGTTAGTGTTGTCTTTTTAAAATTATTATTAAGGACCACAAAGTGACACTAATATTTGTAGTTCAACATATGAGGCTACCTAAAATATGGACCCAACAAGTATTTCTAAGTCAGTGTCCTTTCAAAAGGCTCTTCATTTACTGAATACACTTTTTGAGTACAATACACCAAGCTAGATCAAGACACAAAATTAAGACATATGTACCTTTTCTCTTCAGTAAATTCAAATTTCTAGGATACTAGAAGTTTGAATTATGGTTTTCTCTACTTTATCAGAATATTATTGTGGACATTGGTCACGAGGTGAGTGTACTCTGAGATTGAAACTCTTGGAAACTTGCAGATGAAGCTATTCCAAAGGCCTGGAAAGCTAGAGTTCACTTATATTTAATATAGAAGTATTTATTGTCTTTTAGACTCAATAAGAGAATAAGAAGAACAACTCAGTGTAAAGGATCATTATTTTTAAGAAATGCATCAAAATTAATTGCTAAACTAAAAAAAAAAAAAACCATAAAAGTCTCAGTATATTGTAGTTACAGCAGAAAGATCCCCTCAAGAATATTTTACTCAGGAAAGACCAATCTTTCAATGTTTTAAGGCATTGCAGAGAAAACAAGGTGGCAAGCTTGAACTGTAAGCGCCAATTTATCTTGATGAATTTGATGTAATTTCTTAATTACACTGATGAAATTCAACTTACTGAAGTCATAAGGGGCATAAGATCAAAAACTAAATAAGGGACAAAAACAATCAGTAAGAGATTATTTATAGTGAGTATAGAAATTTTTATAAAATGATTGATAGAAAAGAAAAGGTATAAGATAGAGTTAGAAAAAATGGCTCCAAAGAATGAAAGAACCAAGGAAATGTGTGCAAATGACTGAGGAGCTTCATGGAACACTTGCGAAGCTCCATACCTTGCAACACAACCCTTAACTTTGTTGCCACCCAGGTTCAAAGGCAGGAGATCTAATGCATTTGCAAATGAAGTTATTTCATATTGCCTATAAAAGTTTAAAAACAATAAAATTTTATAAGATATTAAAAGCAGATTGAGGAAATATATAAATATTTAAAAGAAAGAAGAAATAAAGTGAGAACAAGAGATGTGTAATATCTATCAGATAGGTTCAAGCAGGAAAGAATACATTAACCTAGAAAATGGTAAAAATGAAAGGATAGATACTGAAGAAACTAAATAACCTTTTTTTCAAACAAAGCTTTTGGAACTTAATGCTACTATATGCTGTTGTGAGGAAAGTAGGATTGTCTTAAAAATGGAAAATAATAGTGTGTTTGTATTTAGAAAACACAGTGCCTAGTACATGAGGGGTATTTATAAAATTGTAGTGGGTGAGGTTAAAGAAGTAAGCCTTATAAAATATACATATCATAGATATATATATTACTTTCTAATTATATCAAAAGCAACTGCCAATGAATAGTAATAATTAAGAAGGAATGTTGTCTTTTTTTTTTTTTTTAAAGCTTAAACATCTTATTTACAGTTTGGGCAGAAACATGCACTAGAAATCAAGCTTTGTGATAGTGTTTCCTTTTGGCAATACTAGCATAAAATTCAGAGCAAATAAAGCATAGATCTTGACATTTTCTCTATAATGCAGGTTATTTGAAATTAAAGTTTCTTATAAATATGGACCAAAACACCTTGTTACCTTTTAGAAATTAATGTATTTAATACAACTTGAGTAATTCCTATGATAAATATATTGTTTATAAGATAAAAACATGCTTATCTCAATTTAGCTTTTCTCTTAGCTGTGGTTGTTAATATGTTCCCCATAGTCACCTTGCAAACCATAGAAGGTAACGTTACTAATCCTGTTTTCTATAACCCTGGTACCTATAATGCCTTGATTCAAATATGAGTTTAGCAAATTAGTCCCTGAAAACACAAGATTATAGGTGAAGAATCAGGGGAGATAACAAAGTTATCTTTCCAAGTCTTCCAATGATTCCTCACTCAACAACCAGTGTAACCCTAGGATGAAGTTACTGTACATATGGATACATAATAACATTGATAAACAAATACCTGACCTGGAAAGACATGCCTAATGGGGCTATAACAGCACAAATACTATGAGAGCAACTAGCCACTTTCTGATTGAAGTCCTACTCCACGAGTTAAAATCCATACTTGGCACCACTGTCAGAGCCAAGAACCTGTTACTACACAGGTCATTGACTCTAGAAGAGAAGCTACTTTTTTGACTCTGCTAACTGGACACAATACGAAGCTGACATCTAGTAAATTATTTTTATACCCATAGTTAGTACATTGTTCAACCCTCATCACAGAAGCTTCTTTTGGCAGTTGATGGTGATTAATGCACAAACCTGGTCACTGGTATTAATATCTGGTCAAAGAGAAGAGAATAAGAGGCTTTTAAATGCTCAGTCTAAATGGGACATCTGCATAACAATTCCTTTTCCCACAGCTCAGCAATCATTGTAGAAAAGGAGGTAAAAATGTTTTAAGAACCAAAAGTAGTAGAAACTACAAAAAAACAAAGTTT